GCACATAGATCTATTTCCCCATCCTCATATAAAAATATATTTGCATATGTACATGTCTTTATCTAGACCTCTATAAATGCCCTTTGCCTCCTGGCTCTTTCCTCTATATCCCTTTACTTTCCTGTCCCACTATCATGCTTAGTTCCACCAGGGTTTCAGCAATTCCTCTTTGTTACATTACCCTTGATCATGCCCTACCAGGCTTCACACACCCATCTCACCACCAATTTGGATCACTTGTTGTTCCCTTGTCCCTGGGTTTGCTAACACCACTTCCTTTCCCCCCACCTTCCCCTCTTCCATGTCCCCCCGGAACTGTCGGTCCCGTTGTTTTCTCCTAAGGCTGTAATCTTTATGGAAGCAGACTGCCATATCTTTCTCCCAGGGAGCAGCTGGTGGATCCAAGCCAGCAACTTTGCAGTTAGTTAGCAGCTGAGTGTTTTAACCCTGGCACCAGGGCTCCTTCTCACTCAAAAACAGCTCCACTGCCGTCCAGAGTCGATTTCAACCATAGGGCAGGGTAGAATTGTCCCTGTCAGAAAGCTCCAGCTTTCTCCTGAGGAGAGGCTGGTGGTTTCAAACTGCTGACCTTGCAATTACCAGCCCACTGCATCACCACTACACCACCAGGGCTCCTCATAACCATTAGGTAGATAAACTAATTGCTTGCATTCCAATCAGGCTTTCACCAGTCACCCCAGGGCTGGGTCCATGCCTTCATAAACAAAGTTTTCCTGGGGAGAGGTACAGAAGTTATGCATAGACAGCAACACAAACTTGCCCTGACCAAAACTGACCTGGCAATTGTCACATTTGTGTTGACCAGCAGATGTGATCTACCTGAATCACTTGTTAGGGTAACAAATTCTTAGATGTGTTCATATGGTGGTTGGCTGATTACATAGACATCTCTCCTAAATATGGATTTCCTTCATTTACCACCTTTCTTCTGCCAGTAACATCATCAGTGGACACCCTGATGTCTTATCCATGATCTTGCCATCTTAAACTATGTTACTTTTAACTAAGGAACTTAATCTGCCTTTTACCATATTTGCACAGTGGTAGAATGGGCTACTGAAGATTCAGAAATGGCTGACTTTTGCCCTAGAGTGTGGCTCATGCTCAGGGCTAGTGGCTGTAAAACACTAGTTTTCCTCATAGCCAGAAAGCCTGAGTCTTAAGACCAAAGTGTGTGGAGCTAACCATTGTATAATTATGGTTACACTCGAGAAAGTTTTGCTTCTTCCCCAGTCAACTTGGACTCTGCTGTTTTAGAGGTCAAGGGGAGAGATGCTTCCACCATGAAATGCAACAATGAGCCCCTTGAACTGGAAGTTGAACTGATATTAAACTTCTGGTCCCCTTCTTTATACTTCTGGATAAAGCAGGCAATAGAGGACCATACCAGTAGGTAGGGATGGCTGATATTGATTATCAAGCTCCATTCACAGTGAGGGGGGAACGGAGTATTTGTGGAACCTGTGGAATCTTCTGGACACCTCGTAGTATAAGATCTCCAGTAGCATAAGTTAATGCAATACTACAGAAATCTCACGGTTTGAAAGATATCTCCCCCAAATATAAATATAAATTTATATAAATTAATGTTGTATAAATTCTAACCCGTGTAGTGGTTATAATCCCATTTGGCAATGGATTTTCTTTGTTATGTTAATGAGACAGTATTATTACAGGGTGTGACTTTAAGATTTATGAATTAGTATTGGAATATTTAATATTTGAAAATGCTAATGACTATAATAAAAATCAATGAATACATTATAAAGTGAACATTCCAATAACCAAGAACATCTGTACAAATTAGGCTAACTATTCAAAGAAAAATTTAATTTAATATTTTCCTCTCTCTCTGGAATATTTCCATTTTAGTTTTAGCTAAGAGGGGATAACCAAGGGAATTAAATTAATCAACATTTCTGATCACAGTTCTTTAACATCTCTAAAGACAGCCAAAGGCTCCATAACGCAGATTAACTGATTTCACAATTAGCAATTATAATTAGTTTTTCCACCTGTGTCTTTTTTTGTTTTGGCAATAGACTTTATATTTTAGAGTGGTTTTACAGTGTGGAAAACTGAGCAGAAAGCACAAAGAGTATTGTCTTGCACACTGTTTCTTCTATAACTTCTTACATGAGTGTGGCCCATTTCTTAAAATTGATGAACCAATGCTAATATATTATGAGTAAGTAATGTTTTGCATGAAGTTTTGCTCTTTGGGGTGTGCAGTCCTAGGGGCTCTGACACCATCTGTCTCTTCTCATAGGAAGTCCTGGTGGTGATGTTGGTTAGGGGTTGGACTGCTAACCCCAAGGTCAACAGGTCAAATCCACCACTTGCCCTGACGGAGAAAGCTGAGGCTGTTTGCTCCTGGGGACTCATAGTCTTGGAAACCCTAGATAGGGTCTCCATGAGACAGAATCGACTCGATGGTAGTGGGCTATAAATGTAGCAGAAAGCTTATTTACCTTGGCCAGGCTTCTCCACTAAATCCATAATGCCGATGTCCTTTACCCAAGCAACGAGGGTGTTCACATTTTGGCCTGTGTTCTTCGGAGAGTGAAATTGGTATAATTCTGCCACATTCCCTCTCGCCACCCCAGGGGAGCCTGCACTGTTGGAGCGACTCCTTGAATTCCTGGTACCTGTGAAGAAAGAGAGACGTTTGAAATAGCTTCAGAAATAATGGAAATCGCCATAGCTTCATATGGATTTTTGTATTATTGTAGGAACACAGACAGAATTCTTAGTGGAGGGTAGATTATAGCACATAATGGATATTTAGGCAACATGGGGCCCTCGAAGGAAAGAGATCAAATTCCAGAAGGCATATATATATATATATATTTAAATGGGGAGTATTATGAAGAAGAAGTCCTGGTAACATAGGTTATGTGTGGAGCTGTAAACCATAAGGTCAGTAGTTCAAGCCCACCAGTCTGCTCAGAGGTAGAAAGAAGAGGCTTTCAGCTCCTGTAAAGATTTATAGTCTTGGAAATGTTATATAGGATTGCTAAGAGTTGGAACCGACTGCACAGCGGTGCATTTGGTTTGGACTGGTTTGGTTACTGTGAAGAGCAGAGGCTACGAGACCCTAAGTTTCACCTAGAGCTTCTGCAACAGTGGTTCTCCATGTGTGGTCTGTGCCCCAGTAACAGCAGCATCAGCATCATTTGACAGCTCAGGCTCTGTCCCAGACCTAGGAATCAAAATCCCTGGGGTGAGGGGCCCAGTCATCTGCATTACTAGCCCTCCAGGTGATTCTTACATGTGCTACAATTTTAGAAGCTTTGTCCTATCCAGTTGCCTCTTTTGTGCCATAGGCTACAAGTCAGACTCATAATCTGAAGGTCCCAAGTTTGAACCTCAGAGGGGGCAACCAAAAGTTTAGAGGTGCCCTTATCATGTTGTGGGTTACTGCAAACCACAAGGTCAGCAGTTCATACTCACCAGGTGCTCCAAAGTGGAGGCTGTCTGCTCCAAATAATGATTGATAGCCTCTATGAATCCAAACTGACTTAATGGCAGTGGGTTCGGGTTTGGTCCTATTCCAGTTACTGCTTGTAGAAACTAGGTCTCCCCTAGTCTCATCCCTTACAAATAGTACTATTGAATGGGTTGGCGGCCTGGAAGTTCCGTCAACTGGCTCATCTTGAAAACAAATAGTTCAGATGTTTTCTCAGCTCCAGCTTAGCAGTGCCTCACCGGCACCTGCACCTAGGAAGGGCCCAATGGAGTCTGGTGAGCGACTGCACGTGTGCATCCGTGAGCAAGGGTTTGTGTCCTCCTTTGCACCCAAGATACCCTGGTGCAGGAAAGGACCTCATGGGACATAGAAGGAGGTATCTGGTGAAAGATCTGCTTCTTAATTAGGAAGGGTTTACTGACTTCCAGTTTCCAGTGATGGCAGGTCAGGCTATTTGTACCAACCTTCCCATTGAAACAACTAGAAGTGTTGAAACAAGAAAAGCATCTTCCTACACTCGGCTAATTGTTAACAACCTAGAAAGGGATATGGACCCCCAAGGAGGGAAAACAGAACCCCAGAGAAGTGAGGTGGCATAGGGGCTACCTTTGTCCTCAGGGCAGCGCCTCTTCTGGCAAATGTATACTTTTGCTTAATGGGCCTTGCAGAGCGAAGGGTACAGAAATCAAGTTCAGGGTCGGATTTAAATAAGAGAGTCTCTACAGTAAGCGGGGGTCCCCGAAAAGATACTTCCACACTAACGGTGGTCGGAAGTGTGGTCTTTTGCCTACGCTTGCATGCGCCCAGGCCTGGATCTTGGATTTCAGGCACTGCAGGACAAGCAGGAGCCCGTTTTGGAGTAAGGGTTCTTTGAGAAACCCCTGTGGAAAGTGAGAGAGGGAGAGAGACAGGCTGTAAGGGAGAGGGCAGAGAAAGGAGTCAACAGGATGATAAAGGCCCGGAGGAGTGCACTGGGGAAAAGTCAGCCGGAGATCCTAGGTGACAGGCAGGCTGAAGGAATATAGAAGTGGGTTTCTAAGGGGCTTTAAGTTATATGTAGCATGATCCGATCTGCTGTGGCTCTTGCCTTTGACCCTACTGTTCACAATTGCGCTCTCTGCGCAAAGCGTTTAGGGGAAGTGGAGGAAGTACCGAGTGTCACCTCTGGGCCAATGTGGTAGTCAACAGAACCAGGAACTCAAAGTCAGAAGTGACCATGAGACTTGGAAGCATCACCTGACCACCCTGGAAACTTGGATGCATTTTGGGGAAGGCTTTGGGTTTCCACATAGGGCCTCTAGTGGTGTTGTGCATTATGACTTGAACTGCTAACCACAAGATCGGTGGTTTGAAACTACCAGCAGCTCCATGGGAGAAAGGTGAGGCTGTCTACTCTTGCGAAGATTTAAAGCCTCAGAAACCCAACGGGGCAGTTCTAATTTGTCCTGTAGGGACACTATGAGTTAGAATCAATTCGATGGCAATGAATGGAATGGCACAGGATAACGGTTTGAGCATAACGGAAGGGCAAAGAAGGTGGTTGAGTTAGAGTCGATATCGAATTCAGGAATTGGGGTGCAGTAGAGGAGCGCGGTGACAAGAGGAGACGCATGAGAGGACATCAATATCCAGCGGGGCTGTATCAGCCCTTTGGACTATGCCTAGGGAGAAACGGAGTCGGTCTGAAACATGAGAGAGGAGCTATGGCCTGTGGCGCTCCTTCTTCCTTACACCCGTGTAGAACCTGGCTTAACGGGGTCCCTCTCTAAATATTGCTGAATGCTCATTCAGAAAAAAGGGATTATCTTACATGTTAAATGTATTATTTCATAAAGTCAATAGACTAGGAATCAGTGAACTACAGTTTGTGTCCAAACTGCAGTCAAATGCAACCCCACTGACTGGTTCTATAAAGAGATGTTCTTGGAAGGTAACCCAGACCACCAGCTTATTTATTGTCAGCGGCTGCTTTCACCCAGCAACAGTACAGTTGAGTATTTGTGACAAAGACCATAAAGCCTAAAATACTTACTACCTGCTCACTGTGGAAAAAGTTTGCCAGCCCCTGCTCGTGGCAGTCAAGGGGCAACTGGGAGACCATTGCTTTGAGGTGCTACAGAAGGGACATTCAGCTCCCAGGCATTTCATGCCCCTGGAGCTCTCTGACGATATGACTGGTAGACAGGGTTTAGAGGGCATGCCAGTGAAAATACTTAAACACATTTGATTAATGACAACTGAGGCTCTACGATCTAAGTTTGTAAAAGGTACATTTGAATCGTAAATGAGTCCATTTCTCAACATCTGACCCCTATATATTGCACTAGGAAGACGAGCCAGTAGAAAGTGTTAATCAGTCATTTCAGTTGGCATCCATCTGAAGTCAGGAAGTTGCAGGACACCATTTACAATGACAGGCAAAGCACAGAGAAGTCATGTTTCTCTTCTCCAAGTGCCACGCTTTCCTCCTTAGCCCGAAGCTAACAGCAGTTTGGAGGAGGAGTCAATGATAGCAAATATGAAATAGTTTTAAAGCTGAAATACAACATATGTCCTTAACAAAGCGAGGGATAAAGTACTTGTGTCAGAGAAAGTGGAAATGTTTACTTTTTTTTTTTAAATACCCCTAAGGATAAATCAAGTAGCATAGTGGGTTAAGGACTGGGCTGCTAACCACAGGTTAGTGGTTCAAATTCATGAGCTACTCTGAGTGAGGAAACTGAGGCTGTCTGTTTTTTTAAATCATTTTATTTGGGGCACATACAACTCTTATCACAATCCATACTTACATCAATTGTGTAAAGCACATTTGTACATTCATTGCCTCATCATTCTCAAAACATTCGCTCTTCATGTAAACCCCTGGCACCAGCTCCTCATTTCCCCCTCCCTCCCCGCTCCTCCCTCCTTCATGAGCCCTTGATCATTTATAAATGATTATTTTGTCATATCTTGCCCTGTCCAACATCTCCCTTCACCCACTTTTCGGCTGTCTGTCCAGAGGCTGTCTGTTTCCATCAAGATTAGTGGTCTCAGGAAACCTCAGGCGCAGGCCCCCTGTCCTGCAGGGTCGCTGAGTTGAAATAGACTCGGCGGCCGTGGGCGGCAGCAGCCAGGAGTAAACCACTCTCTGTTTGGAAGTTGCTCTGTGGAATTATGAGCATTAAGTCACAAACCCAGGGTCACACGTATCCAGTTACTACTAGAAGACACGCTCAAAGAAAAGCTCGGGATAAATATAACTCCACGTTTTACTTGGTAGAGAATTAACATTCAAAAGTGTTCAGGACTCAGAAAGCAACGGAAGGATGTCGGAAACAATATGAACTTGTAATTCAGTCTTAAGCCATTCTCAAAGCACTTCCTTGATTGAGATGTTTGTCTTTCTAAAGAGCTAGAGAACTTGCTGAGATAAGGAGGGGCAGCTGAATGGGAACCTGATAGGCATCTGTGATGATTTGAAGAGTTTCCCATGCCACTCTGACATCTGCAGTGCCAGAAATAGAAATACCACCCATCTAGCTACTGAATAACTTAAAAGAAGATCAAGCTAGATTATGTGAAATAATAAACATGTCAATGTTCTAAACACGTACAAGTGAATATAGTAACTGAATTATTCAGATGAATCTGCCCTCAGCGAGTGAGCAATCCAGAAACCACACTCTTCGTTTTCTATTTCAGTGATTTCGCCGACCCTCCCTGAGCCCTGGGAAGCTTGTAGAAAATACTCCCTCGCTCCACCTCAAACCTACCGATCCAGAATGGCCACAGAAAAAGCCTGGGAACCTCTATTTTTTTTGAGAAGCCTCCTACTTTGTTTTTTTTTATTAATAGTGCTTTGCTTATCTGAAGTCTCTTTCCTTTCCAGATAAAGTCAGAAACTGTTGGCCAATAGGCTGGGGTAGAACTGCCCCTGTGGGGTTCCAAGACTGTAACCTTTTTTCCCCCCTGTTTTTTTTAAATTGTTTTATTAGGGGCTCATACAACTCTTATCACAATCCATACATACATCAATTGTGTAAAGCACATTTGTACATTCATTGCCCTCATCAGTCTCAAAACATTTGCTCTCCACTTAAGCCCCTGACATCAGCTCATTTTTCCCCTACCTCCCCGCTCCCTCCTCCCTCATGAACCCTTGATAATTTATAAATTATTATTTTGTCCTATCTTTCC